ATATATATATATATATATAAGAAACCTCTTAAGAAGCTGATGAAGTTCTGTCAGAAAGAAGGAAAATCAATCAATTAACTTCAGATTTTTGTTGTGCCAACAAGGTCGATCAGTTAACCAAACTTTATCCATACGAGTCTATACGAAGAACAAAGTGTGCTAAGGAAATAACAATGTTGAAATGTTACACATATTACACGGTGCGATGTAACAGCATGTTACCAGAACGTATCTGTATGATTGTATCTATGGGGGGGAAGACAAATGACCACAACTGTAAAGACACCCTCTCTGTAGTGAAGGGGACCAAAGCCACGGGGTGCTGAGGCCTTCATCTAAACGTGCTGACGAATCATCCTGCTGATCGACGGATCTCCGTGTTTTCAGTGTTTGGGTGAATTGGTGCCTGCATGCAGCAGCAGCATGTTTAGGTCTGACATGGAGCGTGTAAGCTCATCTGCTGCAGACTAAATAGCAGAGGAGAAGGAATCCAGGCCAGGCGAGTTCAAAAAGTGGGTCACTTCTCGTAGACAGAACTGCTGCAATGTGACGCCTGAGTAAACATGCAATAGTGATTTCAACTCTGAAGTATAAATTAATTCCTGTCAGCAAAACCAGCAGTAGCAGTTGTGTCTGCATGGTGCAAATGTCACATTTCTGTAGATTTGAAAGCCCTGCTGCTTTATGCTGTGGTGGTTTGGTGCAGTTAAAACAGACACGGAATGGTGCAAAGATGTGGAATCTACAGCATAGTTTTAAAAACCCACTTGTAAATATGACATGTTTCTTTCCAGAAGCTGATCAGCAGAGTTTCACCTCATTTACGGCATCTGACACGACTGCACAGCTCTGCTAGCTCTCTAGTTTTTTGTCCTCATTGTTCACACCCTTCCTCACACTGCCTTTGTGTTCTGGCTCCATCCTTCTCGTAAAAGAAACTTCAGTAGGGTCCTTTTTACTTTTACGATCTCATCCTGGTTTTTACCTCATTCTCACTTTGACTCTCGTTGTCGGATTTTCTTCCATTCCTCTCACCTCTCATTTCTTCCTTTGCTGCCTCTGAGACAGTAATGATTTGTCACATCATCTGGTCAGCTAAACGGCCAGAGGCAGAAACCAGTTCCAGCTGGTAAATAACATCACATCTGTCGGATAAAACATCTTTAATCTCATATTTTTGGCCACTGGATAAAAATGCACTGACATTAGCTTCACTTCCAGGAATTAATGTAATTTTTGAAATGAAATGAAAACCAATCCCCCAAAATTGGATTAACAAGGCCTTCACTTGATAACAGTCACATTTCCCCAAAGTGGCCTTTAACAGTTTCTGAAAGAACGTTTATTTTGGGTAATGTGTGTATTAACTGATACAGAAAGCAGGAATAAACTGCCAAATTTTGCATTAGAGTGTATGCTTGAGTACAAAGAGAAGAGAAGGAGGAGAAAGAGAGAAAAAGTGCCGTACATCAGGGCCAAAGCCAAGACTGCTCCCATTGTAGTGAATCAAAGCACTGATAATTGGTATAATTATAGACAAAGGACAAGAGGGAACAGAGAGCTTTATGTGTGTGTGTGTGTGTGTGTGTGTGTGTGTGTGTGTGTGTGTGTGTGTGTGTGAGCGTGTTTGTATCAGAGAGAGATATGCACAGATACTTTCGATGGAAACAGATGAAAGTGAGTTTTAAGGTACCAAAATAAATGAGTTACACATTTGTATGTGATTAATCGACAATCAAGTGAAATATACACTATCTGGCAAACATGGGTCTGTTCAGCTCTCGATAGAAGAGGAGAAATTCTTCAGTCAGAGCGCTTAAATAATTCAAATCACATTCACAGGATGATGCAGTTTGAGCCTCACTCAGCATTTATTTGCATTAGTGTGCATACTTCCCTGAGCCTGATTGCTTTGTGTGCGCTTACCAAAATGATCATAAAAAGCTGGTTACAGGTCTCACCGGTGTGTGTGTGTGTGTCACGTTACTGCAGGAACGGGAGCAATAATCTGAGGTGGAGCAAAGTGATGATGAACACCGGTGGTGCAGCGGTGCCTGAGCCGGGGTGATGGGGGAAAAACGAACAGTTTTGTGGCGAAGAGACGGCGCGTCTATGTTGTTTCCCCCCACAACAACCCGACAGGCGTTCGCTCGGGAAGGGCCGTTAGATTAAGTCATTACCGAGGTACCGACGAGATTTTCCAGGAGTGTACACTCACCACAGATTTATACATTACCCTCATATAAGTTTAAACTCATGCATTGCAACAACAGATATATGATACAATGTCTGCTCGCTCACCACCTACTGCGGCGATGCCATTCAAGCACTCTCCTACGCTCACGGGGCAGACGGTGATTATGACTTCATTCTCACTCTTTGAGTCATCTGCGGGGTTTACAAGGCGAAGACTGATGATGAATGAAACCGCCACACAGACTGCAATCATATCCTGTTTTCCCACTCCGGCCATTTACTTCAATCTGGTGATATTAATTCTCGTCACAGTCTTTGTTTTCAGATTCAGAGCAGTGCCTTCGGCAGTACTTAAATAAGACCTCTCAGCTGTGGATGTGGTTGTGTGTGAAGGGAAGGAGAAATCAATGGCGTTGTTTCAGTTTTGGTTATTTGAGTGGATTTCCCCTACTTGAGGCATGTTTCTCAAGTAAGCCTTTACTTGTCTGTATGCATGATATACACACATATATAATATATATATACAGTATGTATATATATATATATATATATATATATATATATATATATATATATATATATATAGTTTAAGAGTTTTGAAATCCTTACACAATGAGGTGCCCCTTTAAACTGCTTTCTATCAGAAGAAAACAGGTCAAACTGCGAGAAATTCAAAATCACAGAATTTTGTGATAATGGGATAATTTGGCCATGGGAGTGAAGTCAATTTGAGCAAAAGCAATTGTTTGCTTGGTGAATTGTCACGGTTTAGCAACAGCAAACCCCTTGGACCGTTCGCCCCTTTCAGGAGAACCGGGAGCTGGAGAATCCAAAACAGAGGGAGCTATTGTAACAATGTTCAATACCAAGACAGAAGCCAGGGGAGATTCTGTGAGCTAGCCTACTAGATTGGCTTTTTAGCAAAGTGTTGCCACAGTAGTTCAACTTATTGTTATTTCAGAACCCTATTAGTCTTAAAAACTGCTTAAGTTCATGCAGACACCATAGATTGAGTTTCTGGCAGAAAGCCTTGAAGACTAACTTCTCCAATGTGGAAAATAACGTGAGATTACTTTATTCTGCATTATAATTAGCCACTTCCCCTTGTTGCAAGGTGACCATCAATGTTGTTTGGGAATTTAAAAATCTTAAATGGGCTTTTCTTAGACTCTTTCAGAACCCTGGCATGGTGCTGTTCACATCGCCCTGTGAATATTCACTGCTTCTCTAACCTACGACAAATAAATATTTGGCCAATAAGCCCTGCATGATATAAATTGCCCACTTTCTGGTGAAACGTGACCTTTTCTCTGATAATAAAATGTATATTTTAAAATGTCTTCTCAGTGTTCGTCTGTTTCTTCTGCACACACACATCCTCGCTTGCCTCGTTTCCTCCACCTACTCCCTCATTTCCTATTCCTTAAGGCACCGATCAGGATTCAATCAAAGTCTCTCAACCTTCGCTCCCTTTCATCCACTAAGCCGTGCACATTTTCAACAGTCAAACCTCATTTCACGGCATGAGGTATACGCGTGTGTACTTGTGAGGACTTTGAACACACTCAATATTCCACTAGATGGTCCATCACACGGACTCGCCGTGAAATCCAGCAGATGGGTCTATAAATGGGAAGTGGCTGAGGTGAGGAGCTTGCTTTCAACAGCCTTAAGTATGTACTTGAGTGTCGGAGATTACCAAAAAATCACAATACACGCACACACACACACACATACATGCATACATACAGTATATAAATGTGAATTTCAGCCAACTCTTTTGTACTTCATTCCAATTCATATTGATATGTTGTTTAAAGCTAAGATGAATCCTGGGACCCTTTTTTAAGATCGGAGGGAAAGAGTCTCTTGATACTGTGGTGAGTTTTTCAAATGCAAAAAACCTCAGAACCAGATGTGTTTCCTTCTTCGCTCTCTGCCAGGTGACGGACGAAAACGCACTGTTGTGACATCAAATTAGACCCATGGGCCTCGGCAACGCGGGAAGGGAGGCGGCCACAGTATGATCGCGAGCGTGTTTTCACAAAACACACTTTCCCTTTTCTGGCAGGTGTGTGTGTCTGTGTGTCCTCGGTGTTCATGATCTGTTTCTAAGAGCTTTCCAAACAAGCTGTTCAAAGAGTCCGTGTTTAGACTTAGACTGGAGGAAAGCCCGTCTCTTCTCCCACAACACACACAGATAGACACGGTGGGAGACAAACAGGACGCAGGACGTCTTCTGGGAAGCAGACATTCCTTTTCAAATACCTCCAGCCAACATCCAAACTGCTCTTTATGAACTCAGTAATCATTGCGCAGAAACACAGCTGCTTTGCACAGACGCAACAACCTCTCGATGCAGCTGGATGCAACGCTGCTGCAATCAGCAATAATTTAATGTGGAACGACCCCTTCCAGCGGCCCAAAAAGACGGCCAAAACAAGGATGGTTAAAGAGGTGTTGATTCCAGGAGGCACCATGTGTAAGTCTACATATGAGAGGATCATTTGGGAACGCAATCTCACGTACAAAGCAAAAATAGCGCTTCTGTAAAATTGGAAGAGAAGAGTTAACAGTGACAAGAGAGCATGACCAAAACCTCCCTGTACCACTAACAAGTATTATAATTAACTCAAAAACAGAGGTGAGCCAAATGTCCATCACCAAAACCATAATGACCGGTGGAAAACAAACATCACTCATATGTTTTTTACAGCATTAATGTTCAACTTGAAAGGAGTCAAAGGCATCGAGACCAAACAGCCGCGCTCATAATGTGCGGCTAGTGCGCGCGCGGTACTTACGATCCAAGCCGTTGACGTATTCCATGGCGACCTCACAGTGCCCCCACACGGCGCTGACCACCGGATGCAGCTTCTTGCCCTTCAGTCCTCTGAAAGCCACTCCTAGATACCGCTCGTTCACCATGAAGCTCAGCGTCCCCTCGTCCATGTCCAGAACCACTAGCAGGGAGTCCGGCAGGACCAGCGACTCCTGCGGCTCCAGGAAACACGGGTAGGACGGCAGCGAACTGTGGGCCCGGTTCTTACTGTTGTGGTAGAGCCGGTAGCGTCCCAGATCCCAGCCCCAGGATTCACAGTCCGACCCCACCAGCGCCGTGTAGCCCACAGAATGCAAAGCGGCCTGCGAGGTGGCCACCCCGACGACGGCGTGCGTGCCGCGCTGCCTGGAGGGCCAGTGGATCCTCCACACGTGGAGGCCCCTGGTGTATCCGACCCGCCCCCGGATGCAGTCTGTGCTCTGGGCAACCGGGTGGCGGTGAAACGTCAGCTTGTCGTCGTCTTTTATGAAGATGTTGAGCGACCGGTCGTCGGGGTTCCACGCGTGGCGCAGCTGGGCCTCCGGTCCGGCACACGGCATGTCCAGCAGCAGGTCCAACCGGGGGGGTTTGACGAAATCAGGGCCCCTCAGTTCCGGGTGCTGCCGGCGTTGAGCCAGAGGCCGGTAGGACGGCGAGCCGCCGCTTTCCCCGCGGTCGTCCACCGACTTGATGCCGCCGGAGATCTTCTGCCCCATGGCTGCGATGGAAGGGTCGACGGAAGGGAGGGGGGGCGGAAGGGGGGGCGGGCAGGTGTTGGTGCAGGTGGGCGCCGCGCAGCGTAGGGCTCGACGTTACCTCATAAATGCGGTGGAGCTGAAGTGAGAGTTCCTGACTGGAGAGTTCTGCGGGAGATGGAGGAGGAGGAGTTGATGAATGGATCTATCAGCGACCTGGTTTCATGCAACGAACGTCCTCAGAGCGACGGAGCGGCTGCGTCTCCTGTCGAGAGAAGAGAGACAACTATTAGCTAACTGTGGGCCGCTGCTAGTTTCAGCCAACTCTGGTCCAAGAAATGAGCCAGAAAAAAAGGACAAAGACTCAAATGAGAGCTGATGATTTAAAAATGAAAGTGTTTGTAAAACTTTGTTCCACACATTTTGGATTAACGTGAGTATAGGGGACACTGTTTTGAAAGTGTCTGTGCAAGTAAATATTATTGACTTTAAAACAAAGAGCAAAAACAACTCTTGATGAATCGTATTATTTTTAGTCTCTGGTGTCTGTGTCCTGCTCACCGGCCACAAGCCCCCATTCATTTGTTCTTTTGTTTGTCCCTGAGGTGACGCATCTTCTGGTGAGAGTGTCTCACATCTTACCAGAAGTGATGCATAGATCAGTTAGCCTGAACACTTGAAAATACGTCACAGTCCATATTTCTCCAACATATCAAATGCTTAATATAACAATTTGTGTTTTTTTAACCAAAGACTCATGACTTCACAACAAATTTTCCCACTAAAGCAGACGGCCCCCTTACCACAGAATGAGACCATGGTGTAATTCTGTGTGAAATGTCTATGACCTCCGCGCACACACACACACACACACACACACACACACACACACACGCACACCAACCTTCGTCTCATTTGGCCGCTTGCGTTTTCACATTCTCTGTCTGTCTCTTTCCGTCTCTCCTGCTGTGAATGAGGTCATGGCAGCTGGCAGCCAGTGTTTGCCACCACTCAGTTCACTCCTCAGCATGAGAGGGTTCAGTGCTCGGACACACACACACACAGACACACACAGACAGCTGCCGAACTGTGTGTCATCACGCCTGGCAGGTGGGTGAAGGGTGGACTCCGCATGGAAGATTCCAGAGTCACTACCAAACTTTAGGCTAAGAAAACACTATTTAACACTGTAATCACTTTGGGCTGTCATCAAGGAGGCACTTAACCTCTGACCGCGTGTCGTCACGGTCACCGTTGCGTAGGAACCTCTCTGGAGGCTGAAGGTGGGCTGGCACAGCGCCTGCTGCTGCAAATGCGCGTTTCAGCCATCTGTTGTTTACTTTTCGTGCATCTTCTCCTGCTTCTTTAGCCAACTCATTTCAGACAGAACTTTCCCCGGGGTTTGGCAAAACAGAACATCACATGGTGCCAAATCGTATGCAAAATTCTAGTGTTGCTATGATTATGGAGTGCAACTATAAAAAATATCCATGTTCATTTTTGCACTACTGGATTACAATGTCAGAAAATAATAGAAAACACAACTTACAAAAGGGGCCGCCTTCAAATCGCTACATTTTCCACCACTGCTCTTGAATCCTAGTAACAAGAACCAGTCACTAAAAAGTATGTGACCGGTGTGTGTGTCCATTTACTGTCCAACAAACCCTGCCTGGGCAGACAGGCTTTGAAGTCACACATACACACACACACACACACACACACACACACACACACACACACACACACACACACACACACACTGAGAAGGGAAACGGCTGAGGAACCTCACAAACATACTGCACCACTCAGACCCGATGTGCCTGCAGACTTACACGTGGGAATCCTCCCGTGTCCCTCCAGAGGAGGCAGGACACTTAGGACTAACAGAAAATAAATGATATACATTCGTCACTGTCCATGTGCCCGTCTTTGTTTGTGGCTGAGATGGTCGGCCAAGGACAGCTGCTTACACGCCACAAAGGACCAGAAGGAACAGCTCGGAGGTCATTCAGCCTTCCAGCTTGTTTCTGTGTTCATGCATGAACACAGAAACTGGCCCAAGTGGGTGCTTGTGTTCCTAACCCGAGATCAGCTGTTGTCTCGCCCCACTAATATGGCATGTGGGAACAATGAGTATCGTTTCGAAATGTTAATGAATATTTTATAGATGTCTTGACAGAATAGTTTAATATTTTCACAAGATGAGAAGATTGATACCTGTTTTTCTGGTGTAATCAATAAACAGAAGAAGCAGCTATCTAAGCTTTTTAAACAGATGGTATTGATATTTTTATCTAAAAATGACCCCTGGAACATTCATTTGCAACATGAAATAAACAGCAAGTAAACACACTTAACTTGATTGGTCTATTACATAAAATTGTTGTTGTCATAGTGAGCTCTGATTTAATCGCAGAATTAGGGACAGTATTAATAAAGGCATTTTGAAAACCATCACGGAGGGCAGCACAATATGATAAAGTTTGACAACAAGCAACGCGAGCCGTGCACAACTTTTGGGCGACCTGCATAAAAAAGCTCACAGGAAAAACAGACACACGTGTATATAATATATCTTCATGGCAACAGCTGTACCTTCTATTAAACAAACCACCATCCTCTCTACACTGCTGACATTCATTCCTTATGAGGGAATCCCCGGGTAGCTGAAGATGCCACAGCTAGACATAAACTGTACCGTCTGGCTCCTCATGGCAAACTAGAGACTCCACACTAACAAATCAAGTGACGTCATCATATGGACATCTCTGCACTTGGGCAAGAAGATATCGGAACTCTTTTCTCACCGTCTTTCTTTGACTTTTCTACTCTCACCTGTCCATTTGTCCCTGTGCTCGTCTCGTCGCCCTGCTTTCTGTATACCGGCAAATCTATGGAGGCTACAGCAGAGCTGACAACCTATCAATTGGTACAAATGATCTTACCGCCAAAGTACCAAAGCGCCCCAGCGTCTAACGTGCGGCAATCGATACCGGCTCAGCGTGCAAGGAAAGCAAGGTTTGCAAAACACTGCACACACACGCAAATTCACACACAGCCGCACACGAGGAAACCGGCTCACTGACACACACACACACGAGTTAAACCAAGGCTAAATTGATCATGTGTGAATTTAACGTTACACACGAGTTGATGAAAAGCAGAGAGTATCTTTTTTTCTTCCAGCAGCGTCTGAGCTCTATTCTAAGTAACTCCAGTCATCGTCCCCCCTGATGAATTGTGTTCCCTCTCCCACACCGTCCTCCTCCGCACATTAATCTGCTCTTCTCTTGACATGAAAAAGTCCCTCGCTCCTTCTTCTTAAATACTAAACTAACATCAGTTCTGAATTGAAACTAAATAGTTGCCAAAGAAAATGACATACAGCGTATACGGCCACGCACACACACGCACACACACCCCATGTTCTCGTTTCTCTCATGTCCACAATGACACCTTCAAATCCATGGCGCCCTAAGGGAAGACCATTAGTGCTGCAATGATTGAGCACTCCTTTACGGACACCTACGCAAACGCTATCAATCTTTCTCTCGCACACGGAGACGCAGGAGGCCTCGGCGGTGCCGTCCACAAAGCTCTCCCCGGGGTGGCAGAAGATGCAGGTGGCAGATTCACGACCCCGGCAGTAATGAAACTGAACCAAAGTCTGGCTGAATGTGACGCACTGCTGCTTACTCATCCGACATCCATCCGGCGAAACACCCACTTAAGTCTAACGTAACACAGGAATTATGATTTTTTTTATGATTTTTATTAAGGCTGTCATTATGGTGAAATAATATCAACAACAGCTTTTGGGCCAATATTTAATCCAATTAAATATAAGTCTTTAAGTAGATTATTTATAAAAAATGATTGCGGAGTCATTAGTTTAATACAAATGATACCAATTGGTTGAAACATTTAGCATCCTAATGATTGCCACTTAACACAAAGCACATGAGAAAATACCAGACAAAAATAAATGTTGTATTTGAGTCAGGACCGGCAGACCGGCTCTTCAACCTCTTGAGGTGTCCTTAGGAAAATGGCAAAAAAAATAGCAAACATTTCTCATTTCCAGCTCTAAAATAAGAGGGTTCGCATCTTTTTTTGTGTTTATATAACTGTAAACTGAATAAATTTGGCTTTTGGACCAAAACAAGCAATTTGAAGGCGTAACTCTAGGCAGTGGAAAATCAGGAACAGCCTTTCTTATTGACACACAGTTCATTGATGAGACAACCATGAGACAACAATGCTCTCGTCTGTCCCTTGACATGGTTCTCAAAAACTGTTCAGCGCAAAGTGGAACATCGGGTTCTCTGCGAGGACATTTCACTTGAAAGAGTTCAAACACAAAAGCATGGACACATTAACAGCTTGGCACTGTTCTCAGAGTGCTGCCGAAGAAAGACGGGAAGAATTAAAAACAGTGCCTGAAAAAAGGTGGAGGTTATTTAAATAGAGGCGGAAACTAAAAGAAGTAGGCAGCGGTGGACGGAGGCTGTATGGATTTGACAGAAATAAAGAGAACACAGACAATGAAAAAAGATGGGGAGGAGGGAGAGCGAGAGAGAGAGAGAGAGAGAGAGAACTGAGGTCAGCAGCTGACAAAACAAAAGAATAAAGTCAGAAAGGATGGCTGCTATCTCTCTATCCCAGGATGGACCACACAAATACACCCACCCACCCACCCCATCCATAGACCAAACACACACACACACACAGACTGAGAAAATGCTTGAGTGTGGAGCAAGGCAGCAGATTAGGGCTACTCTGAACATAGAGACAAACAGTTTGTTTTAAAAATAGAAAGCAGGATCTGTCCTATTATTGAATATGAGTGGGGGGAAACTACGGGTCGCTTATCCCAGGCCTCTTAACTTTAAATCCCTCCAGAACAAAAGCCCCCCCCCCCACACACACACACACACACACACGCACAAACACACACACAAACACACAGGGGTATCCCAGTTGGCCAGCTGGGGCCTCAAGACCATTAAGAGAATTAAAGGCCACAGTAAATGAGCAATAAGGGGGAGAGAGATGGAAGGAGGGAGAGGCTGGCTTCATGGTAGCATGCAGAGAAAAGAAGACTATAAATGTCGCAAAAACACCAGATCTTGTGTAATGTGAAAGAAGCAAAAGGTGTCCATCCTACAATTAGTTTTAACGCTCAGACATGCATATAAATATATACTCGGGATCGCACACAACTGTAACGGCAACTCAATTTGTTCCACACAGACACACACA